CTTTTTTTAATATAATTTTTTATTTATTACAAATTTATTCACTTTATATCCCAACTTTAGCCCCACCCTCATCCCATTCCAATCCCGCCCTCCCTTCCTCCCTTCTTCATCTCATCCCATGCCTCTTCCCCAGTCCATTGATAGGGTAGGACCTCCTCCCATTCCATGGATCTTTTTTCTTTTAATTTTTAAATTTTATTTATTACAATCATTTATTTATTACAATTTTTTGGATGTTAGCTTTTCTTTTTTTTATTAATTACACTTTATCCACTTTTTATCTCCCCATAAACCCTTCCCTCCTCCCCTGCCAGTCCCACCTTCCTTACCCCTTCTTCAGGCATGCCCCTCCCCAAGTTCACTGATAGGGGAGGTCCCCCTCTCCTTCCTTCTGATCTTAGTCTATCAGATCTCATCAGGAGTGGCTGCATTATCATCTTCTGTGGCCTGGTAAGGCTGCTCCCCCCTCAGGGGGAGGTGATCAAAGAGCAGGACAATCAGATTATGTCAGAGGCAGCCCCTCTTCCCGTTACTATGGAACCCACTTGGACACTAAACTGCCATGGGCTACATCTGTGCAGGGGTTCTAGGTTATCTCTATGCATGGTACTTGGTTGGAGTATGAGTCTCTGGAAAGACCCCTATGTTCAAATTTTCTGGTTCTATTGCTCTCCTTGTGTGGTTCTCGTCCTCTCCAGATCTTACTATTTTCCACTTCTTTCAAAAGATTCCATGCACTCTGCCCAACAGTTGGCCATAAGTCTCAGCATCTGACATGGATCTTAATCTCTTTGGCAAACTTCTATCTCTGTAAACATTTATGTTATGATTCAGAACATTAGCAAAAACTACAGTTATGCAATAGCAATGAAAATAATTTTATGATTGAGGTCACCACAATATGAGGAACTGTATTAAAGGTCTGGGTTTCTGCAGAGACTGATGCACCAATGAAGGATGATGCATGGAGATGACCTAGACCCCCTGCTTAGATGTGGCTGATTGGCAGCTCAGTCTCCATGTGGATCTCTAAGGGAGAAGATCAGGGGCTGCTTCTATCATGAACTCAGTTGACTGCTCTTTGATCACTTGCTCTTGATGCAGCCTTGCCAGGCCACAGAGGAAGAGGATCCAGGGAATCCGGGTGAGACTTAACAAGCTATGGGCAGATGACAATAGTGGAGAACTCCCCCTTTCAGTGGGCTAGGGGAAGAGGATGAGGGAAAGAGGGAGGGAGGGTGGGCCTGGGGAGAGTTGGAATATATAATGAATAAATTGTGAAGAAAAAAATTAAAATTAAAAATAAAAAAAGAGAAAAAGAAAAGTTGTGAACTGCTGATATACTGAAATTTGAAGCCATGCTATTCTATACTACAGGGCTTTATGAAACCCTGTTTGAAAAAAAACAACAGCAACAAAAATGAGCAAGGAAAAAAGTATCGAAGCTTATCTGTTTTTAAATGGACATTTTGAAACCAGATGTTGATTTCTGTGTATGTATTTTCTATACTTTTTAAAGTGATGGAAAGTTTTGAAATACTGGGTTATAACAAGTGTTTAACCCAAAGGAAAATAAAAATTCTCATGTAAGAGTGTGATGGGCAGAAACTCTCAGCATTTTCTAATCAATGTAAATAACATGAAGGGCAAAACATTACACCAGGACAGTAAGAAGGGTCAGAAAATTATTTCTCCCTGCTATGAAAATTTGGAAGTCACCCCATTGCATGTAATCAGAAAATATCTCAGATTCTCCTTTTGGTAAGAGCATTTTGACATTCAAATGTGTTTTCAATCAACCATATTGAACTGTAAATTACAAGAATAAATTCTCTATTTAAGTGAACATTTCAGTGTGACTACAAAGTCATGAAACTACTACCTCTTCAGAACTGAAGGCACTGCTGCCTCCTCAATCATTCCTTTTGTGTCTCTTCCCAGTCTCAGGAGATAACAAGTTTTTTCCCCCTCAGCTTTCATATATGTAATTTCTACATTGTAGAATTATTCTGGTGTCTTGTACTCAGCATAGTGGATGAGAGCTTTGTCCCTGTAGTGGCTTTAAATCAGTCGTTCATTGTTTTCTCTTGCTGAGTCATTTTCCCCTAAATTTAAGTAGCACAAATTGTTTATTCACCCATTGAATGAATTTAGTTTTCTTCTAGTTTTTGTTTATATTATCTGCAGTGTATGCATTTATATATAATTCCTTGATTGAATAAACAATTTAATTTTTCCTGTTGACATATGTTAATTATCTCCTGTGCTTTTGCTTGAATGTATTTGATGATTAATTATGTAGACATGCTTAATAAGTTTCTTGGATCTATCTACTTTGAACAAGAATATTTTTACTCTTTTTAATTTTTAAATTGAGTATCTGATTATTGAGTTGTACATTTTATTTTTTTCCTTTGAGAATTTCTCTTTTCTGTTATTGAAGCCCCAATAACAGAAAAATAGACTTTTTCTGTACACTTTATTCTGATTACAATTTTCCCTCCTGCTACTTCTCCCAGTTCCTCCCCACTTTCCCTCCCTTCTGGATCAACAACCTTTCTATATCTCATTAGAAAGAACAGAAACAAAAAACCTGGCACATAAGAGATGATAAGAAAAATAAAATAAGATTAAGAACAAACAAATAGGAATATGACAAAACAACAAAAGAAGAAAAATAACCAAAGGGGGGAAAAAAACACAAGAAATGCATATAGATGCAGACATACACATACTCCAGGATCCCATAAAAACACCGAACCAGAAGCCATAAGATATACTTAAAGAGCCTGTAAGAAAGGAATAAATAAATAAATAAAACCTCCCTTATTTAACATTATGACACAAAGAATCTCCAAAGATGCTACTGACTTAAACAGATACTGCCCATGGCAGCTCAGTAGTCAAGTGGGTTCCTAGTAAGCGGAACAGGGACTGTCTCTGACATAAACTCAGTGGCTGTCTCTTTGATCACCTCCCCCTGAGGGGGGTGCAGCCTTACCAGGCCACAGAGGAAGACAGTGCAGCCAGTCCTGATGAACCTGATATGCTAGGGTCAGATGGAAGGGGAAGAGGACCTCCCCTATCAGTAGAATGGGGGAGATGAGGGAGGAAGGATGGGATTGGGAGGGAATGAGGGAAGGCACTACAACTGTGATACAAAGTGAATAAACTTTAATTAATATAAACATTAAAAAAGAGTTGTACATTTTAAAAACACTAATCTTTACTCTGTATTCATATAACCACTAATGTAGCAAATATCAAAGTATATGAAGTATTTGCCAAAAAGGTTGCAGTTTCTTTACTTTTGGGGCTTCTCAGTTCTTCCTTCTTCCTCTCCCTCGCTTCCTTTGTTCTTCCACTCTGCTCCTCTGCCAATCCCTTCGTTGAGACAATGTCTAAGTTTGTGTGTGGAGGGAGGAGGGTGTACACCCTAGGCTGAGATTTGGCTCACTCTTGAGTTCCAACGTCATTCTCATCATTATTTATCAATTTCACCCAAAGCTTAGAAGGTTGGCTTTATAATACAGTATTATTACTAATTTATTTCTATGACTTATATCTTGTGTGCCAAGAAAAATTTACCTTCTCTCAGATCATAAATAACTTTCCTGTTTATAATTTTTAAAGATTAAAGTATAGGTTTTTCATATTAGAATATTCTGTTTTCTAGTACAAAAATTTTAAGTAATAATTAACAATGATGTACTGTTGGTAGTGTTCCATTAATTCTGATACAATTTCATTTGTCAGTCAAAATAGATTCTCTTTCTTTCATTACTTTTCTTTGATGGATGGTGTGTCTTACGGAAGTCTGTATCATTTTAAGAAATGTGTGACATTTCATGTCATTTCACGTTCCTACTATTGCTTTTAAGTTTAATGCTTTTATCATTAAATGACATACTTCGTGTATTTCCATCTTTTAATGCTTATATAGAACAGTATGCATTTGTTTTTCTTTTAGGTTTGATGATCACAAAGCATGTTCAAGCTCTGTGATAACACACCAGACACCTGTAACCATCCTTACTCCTAGTTTGTGAACCCCTTATGTTTGCGATATTTTCCGCACATTGTCTCTTAATATTACTTTTTCCAAAGTCTACATTATTCTGTAACAATAAGCACTTCAGCTATCTCATTTGTAGGTACTTATTATTCCTTTCCAGTATTTACTTTGACCATCTACAATGTTACACTGAAATTGCCTTTCATGTAGCAAGCCTGTTGTGTCTTGCTTTTATATCCTGTTTGGCAGTATATCTTTCATGACAGTATATATTTTAATTGCTATATTTATAAAATCCCATGGAATTGATATTATTTGATTTATAATGACAACAATTCTTTTTTACTTTTTGTTTATATCATCTTTTCCTGATAAAACAACTCTGTCACTTTAAAGATTATACTGTATTTCTATTGCTGCTTTTTGTTGCAACATTTTATTTCATTGTACTAGTTTCTATAAGTTTAAGTAAATTTCCCTTCAGTTTAAATTTTACTTTCAAATCATATTGTGCAAATTTTCTGCTAATGGAATCTAAAACCAGCCTCTGATTTTAGAGTTATTGTTTGAGGTTTTAGATTCCCCCTTTGTTGTAAAGTCTACAATGGAGGGCTGCTATTACTGCCTTTTAAATGTCAGTGATTTTACAGAAAATTTAAAATTAACAATACATCTTTGTGGGTGTTTGTTTTTTGAAGCAGATTCCGCTAACCTCCCAACTCATGGCAACTCTCTTGCTTCAGCCTCTTGAATGTTGTGTTTCTTAGCAGAAATATGTCTTATAGTGAGCACAGTTTGTGTGTGTGTGTGTGTGTGTGTGTGTGTGTGTGTGTGTGTGTGTATTCTAGTCTCCCATCTAATAGCATTTTCTATTGATTGGAGGCAATTCATTAAAAAATTTGCCTTGGGAACATGACACTTTTTAGACTATCTCCTGCTTTTGATCATTCTCTTTGATTCACTGTCCATGATTCGCTTATTTTTCCCTGCCCCTTGAGTCATTGACGGTGTGGCTGCAGTGTCACATGTGCAGTACTAGGTGGCAAGAGGAGAGAGGTGTTGGCTATAATCACTATTCTGACTTGTGAACATATGAATGATTAGTAGCCTAACATTCCAGGATAAACAAGCCTGAGACAACCAGTAGCCCAACCCCAGGGAGCCTAGATGAGGAGCCAGCCTGAGATGACTACTAGTGTACCACACATTCCTTGGGTTGTAGATCATACCTGAGATGACCTCTGCTTGGTGCCATAATGCACAGGTGGGGCATGGCCCTCCTGAGACCACTTCTAAGATGACCTCAGACACTCAGAGACCCCATGTGCCACTAAGAGGAGCAAGTAAGTGATGGGGAAATGGATGAGAAAGAGAAAAAAAATGAAGAGAGGCAGAACTGGGTACTCAAGGATTGTTAGGAACAGCCTGATGTGAGTTGTTAGTGATGCCGCCTAGGACCGTGGTGGGGTCCTGGTCTGTGTTGCCACCAGGGGCTATATTTGACTTTGTGGCTCTGCAGACGCAGGAGTTGGTTACCCCAAAGGCCAGGCAGATAACGTTGGTCTGTGCTGCTTCCCTGGGACATTTTGATATCTGAGGGCTGTGCAGAATTGCCTTCCCCATTTACCCAACCATTTTAGGAGAGCTGGCCCTGGAGGTATGAAAGCAGGAGAGCTGACCCCAACCTAGCCAGCTGCAGTACTCAGGAGAGTGGCTTTCAGCACATTGCAGGAGTTGCAGATGAGACTTCCAAAAGACAGGAGTATGGAAGAGCTAACCCTACCACTTCTCTCCCCTCCTTACTCCTTACCACCTACATCAGAAAGGAGAGTTGGCCCTGAGGTCATGAGAGCAGGAGAGCTATCGCTGTTGCTCACCTGCTGCAGCTCTGGAGAGTACCTCACCTGGCCACAATAGTGCTTGCCCTGGACATGGCATTTGTGGATGAGCCAGCCCAGAGGGCATGCAAGTGGTAGAGCTGAAGGTCTGACCAGCTCAGATGCCTCTCAGGACCAGATGCAGAGTTTTGAATTGGCCCACCCCAATGTCTACCTCATCTATAAAATGCTGGAGTGTAGTAAGGAGCCTGTCCTATAGATCTGAAGCACTGGATCTTTATAACACAGGGCAACAACAGGCTATCCAAAAGGTACTCCAGTGAGGTCCCAGGATTGATAGAGTAACAGAAGCCAGACGTGAGAAGCCTCAGGCCAGACGATTGAGTCATTGCAATGAATATTTGAAAGCAACAAAATATGGAAGAAAGTATATGTTGTGGGACATATTATGACACACTGTATCTTCCCCATGAAATTTTTTACCCCCCTCTGGTTGGGTGAAAGTTTGCAAGGGTGTACAGCAGGTATGAGGGGAGGAGGAGATGAGTTGATTACAGTGTATGATGTGAAATTCACAAAGAATGAATAAAAAGTTTTAAAAAAAGAATAAAACAAGTACCTGATTTTTTTGAGTTTTGTTCTTATGTTTTTTTAGTAATTCAAATATGATTTTCTGTGTGCTTCTTCTGTTCACTTCATTGTATTTCTTGAATGAATATTTAGTACTTGAAAGCATATCAGTTCTTATCTAATGTTGATGATTGTTGCCTGTTGTTTGAAGTACTTTTCTGTCCTCTCCCTCTCTTTGCATTGCATATAGAAGCTATCCCTGGTTTCCTCTTGTGGTCTTTACACTAATTCATTTTCACCAGTTATTGCTTGGTTTTTGGTCTTTTTGTTTTAAAATATTCAACGCCACTAATTCTATTCTTTAATGTCTAAAATTTCAGATGCTACATTTTTTTCTCTATAAACCTTTACTGAGACCATTTCATTATATTCATGCTTTCTTTTATGGTGTTATTTTATGTCAGTCACCAGGATGGAGATTTATAATACATGTTAGCAAATCATGTAGCATCCTGTTTTCAGATACAATTTTACAATCTCATGAACACTTTTTGAAAACGCATGTAGCACCCTCTTGTGCTTGAACCACTCTTTTAATTTCTCTTTCACACTTAGAGCAACAGTGTTTTGTTTTTTTTTTTTTTTTGTTAGTTTTGTTTTGTTTTTAACAAGGAAAGAATCCTCTGATATGTTGTGATGTTCATTTATTTGATTTTCTGTGACACATGATATTGCTCTGTAACTTAGAATAACATTGTACTTACTATATAGTCCAACTTTAACTTGAATGACACAGATTTTCCTTTCTCAGTCTACTGAGTGCTGGAGTATAGGCATCTACTATCATAGTTATATTTCATGTTTGGTTGCAACTAGTCAAGTAATTATATTGACCTCAGTATAATCATGCTAGTTAGAATTAGACTAAATATCATTGTTAAATATTATTATTATTAAATGTGATTTGTAGAAATATTTCTAACTGTTTTAAAAACTTATTTGTTAACTGTCTTTGTTTTTTTAATATTTTATTATTTTAATTATGTACATACTGCTATGCTTGTATGTGTGTATGTATACACAAATATGGGTCTTATGAAGACCAGAAAACAGCATTAGGTCCAGGTCTTCTGTTGCTACAGTTCTGAGTGGTTATAAACCACCCGAGGTGGATTCTGGGAACTCTGGGAACAGTAAGGTGAGAGCTCCAGGGGAAGTAGGAAATAGCCCTCATTGCCATTCCTTCTACCTGAAGCTATTGTCTTGTATTCTTATTTACGTTTTCTCTTGGGAAACTAACAATACTCTGTGAGAGACAATATTCCTTTCTGGGCTTCATAATACTACTTTTTATAATTTTAGGTCCTAGGAATTGGAGGTCCTGGGGTTTATAAAGTACTTATTAGTTTAATATTTTAATATCTTGTGCAGTAATATACTTTTAAAGTTGCCTCATTACTTCATTAAATGTATTAGCGGGATGTAAAGCAACAGCTAGAAAAAAGTTAGCCATTTATTGCTTGTGAAGATTATTATTGTTATGAATGATAGAGATGTCATTAAACTTTTTCTAGTATAGCACATGGCATATAGTAAATAGTCATTAAGTATTTTTATGATTATTTTGCAAATTAAATGTTAGTTAATAAAATGTTGTAAATTCACAGATGGAATTTTTTGATAACCATGTCAACTGATGTTATTGTAAGTGATTATTTTGCCCTTTAAAAGAGAATCCATGTGTATCTTTCTTCTTCTGGGATACCTCATGAAGGATGATCTTTTCTAGATCCCACCATTTTCCTGCAAATTTCATGATTTCCTTGTTTTTAACTGCTGCATAGTATTCCATTGTGTAAATGTACCACAATTTCTGTATCTTTTCCTCAGTTGAAGGACATCTGGGTTGTTTCCAGATTCTGGCTATTACAAATAAAGCTTCTATAAACATGGTTGACCAAATGTCCTTGTTGCATACTCAAGCATCTTTTGAATATATGCCTAGGAGTGGTATAGCTGGATCTTGAGGAAGCGCTATTGCTAATTGTCTGAGAAAGCTCCAGATTGATTTCCAAAGTGGTTATACACATTTATATTTCCACGAGCAGTGGATGAGGATTCTCCTTTCTCCATAACCTCTCCAGCATATGTTGTTATTGAGTTTTTGATCTTAGCCATTCTGACGGGTATAAGCTGAAATTTCAGGGTCGTTTTTATTTACATTTCCCTGATGACTAAGGACATTGACCATTTCTTTAAGTGTTTCTCTGCCATTTGATATCCCTCTATTGAGAATTCTCTGATTTGTATCTGTTTGACATCTTCAGTTCCTTACATATTCTGGATATTAGCCTCTGTCAGATATAGGGTTGGTGAAGATCCTTTCCCAGTCTTCAGGCTGTCATTTTGTTCTGATGACAGTGTCCTTTCCATTACAGATGCTTTTCTATTTCATGAAGTCCCATTTATTGATTGTTGATCTTAGATCCTGTGCTGTTGGTGTTTTGTTCAGGAAGTTGTCTCCTGTGCCAATGAGTTTGAGGCTGTTCCCTGCTTTTTCTTCTAACAGATTTAGTGTGTCTGGTTTTATGTTGATGCCTTTGATCTACTTGGACTTTAGTTTTGTGCATGGTGATCTATTTACATATTTTTCTACATGCCAATATCCAGTAGGACCAGCATCATTTGTTGAAGATGCCATCTTTTTTCCATTGTATGGTTTTGGCAACTTACTTACTTATAAGTGCATGTAAGGCATATAATATAGAATAAACACATTAAAATCTGTACACCTAAAGAATCTAAGCAAGGAGGAGGACACAGGGTGAAATGCTGAATCTTCATAAAGAAAGGCAAACGGGATAGACATTGGAAGAGGGAGAAAACAGGGAACAGGACAGGAGCCTACTACAGAGAGCCTCTGAAAGACTCTACCTAGTAGGGTATCAAAGCAGACACTAAGACACATAGCCATAATTTGGGTAGAGTTCAGGGAATCTTTTTTTTTTTTTCAGGGAATCTTATGAAAGAAGTAGGATAAGGAAAAACTTGGAGGGGACAGGATCTCCACAAGGGGAAAAATAGAACCAAAAATTCTGGACACTGGGGTATTTTCTGAGACTGAGTCTAACCAAAGACCATTCATGTAGATAACCTAGAACCCCTGCACAGATGTAGCCCATGTCAACTCATTCTCCAAGTGGGTTCTCTAGTAAGGGGAACAGGGACTGTGTCTGACATGAACTCAGTGGCTGGCTCTTTGATCACCTCCCCCTGAGGCGGGGATGTGGGGCAGCCTTACCAGGCCACAGAGGAAGACAATGCAGCTAGTCCTGATGAGATCTGATAGGCTAGGGTCAGAGGGAAGGGATGAGGACCTCACCTATCAGTGGCCTGGGTGAGGGGCATATGAAGAAAAGAAGGAGAGAGGGTGGGATGGGAAGTTATGAGAGAGGAGGCTACAGCTTGGATACAAAGTGAATAAAGTATAATAAAAAATAAATTAAAAAAAAACTAAAGAAAACAGAGTCCAGACAGAAAAACAGACAACCAGGAATATGTAGCTGAATTATTTATCATGGAGGGACAGCAGAAAAGAAACATTATTTCGCAAACCTGAAAGTTTTCCATAAGTACAGCATATGGCATGTAGAATTGCTTTTCTGTCTCTTTTCATGTCATAGACAATGCACTGGTACAATGACTCAA